GCATCGAAGAAATCGGTGGAGAAGTTGAGAAAAGAGATTACAAAGATTATATCAGCTGGAGATCTGCCATTGGACTTACTTATGGAGGGAGCACCTTCAGCCCTAGTAGCACAGGCAGCACCAGCAGTACCCGAGGCACCAGAGGCAGTAGCCAGCCAGTCTGAGGAGCTAGTTGCGACTGCCCACATCGATGAGGAGATGATCCAGATGCTCAGCAACCCTGTTGTCCCTTAGCCAGGTAATGTAGAGATACAGCTAGAGGCGACCGAGGGTGTGGACCCCATGCACACTGAGACCACATACGGAGTTCTCTTAACTTTCTACCCTTCCCTGCTCTTATTTTTGTTAAGCATTGGGGACAATGCTTATTTTCATTTGGGGGTGGTCTATTTTGATTGATTGACATTGACATTTGGATTTGGCCTGTAATAACTCTTATACTATTTTCCTTTTATCTTTATTTTCCCTTTGGTATGTATGTATTCGTCCCTTTAGTTTGATGTATATATTCAGTTTTCTTTATGTATATATTCGTTTTACTTCGGTTTGTATATTCATTTATCTCGCTTTCTGCAGTTTATTTCATAGCTGCTTTAGTTTGTCTATCTTAGTAATATAGCTTCTTATTTACCTTAGTAGCTTCTTTTTAATTTGTTAGCTTCTTTTTACGTTTGAGTGAACAATAAGCCTTTGGTTTTCTTAATGCGACGGTTCTTTCCAAAGGTGGATTTTGTGTGAACTGGGTAGCTCTTCCCAACGATGTATGGCGAGACAACCTTCTTAAGGGATTGAGTCCGTTTTCTTTTATGTTTTGGAAAATATAGTAATGAATAAAAGGGGTCTCAAGCATGTTTCACTTGGTACCAACACATTTACCTACGACCTTATGGTTAAAAACAAAGTTGTTGGCAGAAAAAAGCTCTAGTTGTGACCTTTGGACTCTTGTGTTGACTTAAGCAGTCATCGAGTGGTTTAGTCGAGCCATTTGTGATTCTCAATATTAACTAGGGTTATTATGGGCCCTCGACTCCGTTATCTTTAGCAATCTAACAACGTGAGAGGTGAGGTATTGAATTGCAAGTCCAAGCACCCGTGCTTATAGTCTAGAACTTGCCTCGAATGTTTTTCTAGGCTTTTAATCTAAGTGTAGCTTGGCTTGAGAAATGAATGTAGGCTCTCCTTGATCCGATTTGAAGTTTGAAATTTTCCATAGCCTACCAATGCGATATCCCTAGTCAACCCATTTAAGTCTAAGCCCTTTTTCTTTCAATAACCACGTTACAAGCCTATATCCATTTTGTAATAACCTCTCTTGCCACCCGATCTTTCCCTAGCATTCTTGAGAAACAATTGGCAAAAACATAAGTTTGGGGGAGAGACGAGGAGTTTGAAAGTGATAAAGGTACAAAGAAGGGAAAGAAATGAAGAAAAGGAAAGGCAAAGAAAAGAAAGAAAGAACAAAAAGAAAGTGAATAAGGTAGAAAGTTGAAGGGATTCAAAGAAAACACTGATGAAAGGCATTGAGTAAATAGAAAAAGAGAAAAATGAATGTCATGACCAAGAAAGAGTGACTTACGTCTCTCTAGTTCCCCCTGAGGAAAAAGAGATTGACTCAAAAAGTCGACAAAGTATGAGCCAAAAAGAGAAAATGGAGTGCTTAAGGAAAGATGAACCCATTCTATTCCATCAAGTCCTACCTTGTTCCAAATAGCCTTCATTACATCCCGAAAAAGCCCTACATGATTTCAAGTTGAGTGAGCTTACATTAGTGGTGATTTACATAAGGGGCAAGCTTATGGTACTTAGACCCGGACTTGTGATATTCTTTTGAGAGAGATGAGCAGATTTTTCACAATCCTTGCTTCAAGTGCTACATTCTAAAGTGAGATATGCTAATGAGTAGAGGAGGAGGAGTTTGGGATCCACAACGACCTACATGATAGAGCGAGCGTCCTTGATAAATAGAGAGTCAACTCTTGATGCTCTAGTATCACATTAGGAACTATTATACTCAAAAAGTCAAATCATTGCATTGTTGATAATTCATACGTGTTGTGGGTAATTGTTGGTCCCAATTGATGTGTGATTGATTCACCTTAGGCCAGCTGAAATATCCTTTTTTCTAATGGAGGTGGGAAATGCCTTAATTGCTTGAGGACAAGCAAAAGCTTAAGTTTGGCGGAGTTGATAAGTAGGGATTTTGACCGCTTATTTGCTCTCTTTTACTTGCGTTTTAGCTCAAAAATGCTCAAAGGTATTCCCGAAAACTAATGAAATGTTCTTGCTTGCAAGAGTGTTGCAATATGAGCCAATGAACTCAAAATCAACTCATAAAGAAGTCAAAATTGGACAAGGACCAAAACAAGACAAAAAGGCCCACAGTGCGGACCGAACAATACTGTGTGCGGCCGCAACAAGAAAAGAGCCATGTCAGTTTTTCTTCAGAGTATGCGGACCGCACAAATATTGTACGGCCACAGAAGAGGAGATTCAAAGAGTTGGTTTTGGGCAAGCTGAAGATATGCAGACCGCACCATAATTCTGCGGCCGCATGATGACAAGTGCGGCCGCACTCAAAATTATGCGGTCCGCAGAAGACAAAGATCAGAGAGATGAAACTTTAAGTCTAAGAAGAAATGCGGACCGCACCATTTTGTGCAGCCGCATAATCAAGAGCACGGCCGCACTTATTTTTATGCGATCCGCAGAAGTCTTGCTCAGCCAAAGTCCAAGTTCAAGGAGTGTGGACCGCACTAGAATTGTGCGACCCCACAACCTCCATAGGGATATTTTTGTCAGATATTTTTAGCGTAGTATAAATAGAAGTTCTTATCATTTTTAGGTTAAGTTGTATCAGTGTAGAGCGCCTGAACCTTTTTCTTTACTACTTTGAGTAATTTTGTACTACATTAGCTTCTAAACATTAGATTTTCTTTTCATAATTAATTATTATGCATTTTATCTTAACTTCTTCTTTAATTTATTTATTTTTCATGAGTAACTAAACTTTTAGCTAGGGTTGTGGCCCAACCCTAGTGTGGGTACTTAATGGGTGTTTGATTTAGGGCTTGTTTGTGATTGGGTTAGTGATATTTAGCCTAGTTCTTGCTTGAATTCTAGAATTAATGGTTGCAAACATTGGTTCATGCCTTAATGAATTAGTCTCTACTTGAGAAAGAGAAACTAAGTCTAGGAAAATATGGCTAACAAGAAATTGGGGAGAACTCAAGAAATTGATAGCCCCAATTAAAGGGTCAAATCTAGAGATAGTAAGACCCGACTTAAGCATATATCACTTGTTTTGTGAAATACCCATTTGGACTTGAGAAAGCCAAATTGGGCAAAATCACTCAAACTACCAAGAGGTATAGAGTGGGTAATTGCATGTGATTGCTATATTACAACGCTGACTAATCAAACTTTCCCTAGAGTTTACAACCCGTTAGGTAATCACCTAGGTGGAAGTTACGATCCTAGATCTTCTTTTTCAATATGAAAACGAAAAAAAATGAAAAATCAAAAGGTAGTTTTATTCAAATTTATCATTTGAAGAACAATCAAAACCAAAAATATTGACTTCTAGTTTCATAATTGCAATCAATAGCTTAAAGTAGAAATAGAAACAACAAACAAGAATGTGGAAGTGTAATTTGAGGCACATCCTAGAATTACACTAAATATATACCTAATCCCAATTCTAACTCCCTGTGGATTCGACCCCGACTTGCGTTAGATTTTTGTTATTGCTTCGACCGCCTCACTACCTATAATTGTGGTGTGAGATTGGGCTAGATCACACCGTAGAAATTGTGACTAAATTGATTCCATGGAGTTGTGAAGTCAAATGACTTGTTAATTTTTTCATGTGTTTGCTATGTGTTAGAGAAACTGAATTGTGACTCATGTTAGAAATCATGCTTAGGCATATGATGGTATTATTGGGACCCACTGAGGTCATTTCTGCTGTTGAATTATATGTTTAAATTAAAATTTTGTACTCAGTCATATTCATTCATTGCATGTCATATCTCTCTGTTATTATTTATTGATACATCATATCATCATTTTTGGGCTGGATTCATGACATTGTGAGCCTGGAAGACTAGAGAGATTGATGACTGAGTGAGGCTGATGGCCTGATTGTGAAGATATTTATGGTGTTATGCATGCGCAGCAGGCCATATTGGCTTTATATATTTTATTATTAAAGGATCGGGCTGCACGCCGCAGCATATTTTTATTTATTTATGCCTGGATCTGGCTTATTATAGAGCTTGGGCTGAAGGAGCCCCTCCGGAGTCTTCACCCCACACAGTGAGCGTGGTTGATTTTATATTGAGGGATGGATCTTCCCAGGGTATGGATCTTGCCCAAAGCATTTATATTTTAGGGATGAAGTTTTCTTGGGCATGGATCTTGTCCGAAGCATTTATATTGAGGGATGGATCTTTCCTGGGCATTGATCTTGCCCGAATTATGTATATTTTGGGATGGATTTTCCCTGGCATGGATCTTGCCTAATTATTTATATTGAGGGATTGATCTTCCCTGGGCGTGGATCTTGCCCAAATCATTTACATTTTTGGGATGAATTTTTCGTGGGCTGGATTGGCCCTATACAGTACAGAGTGACTGTGTAGCACCCCAAATTTTTACTAATATTTGCATTCTCGATTGAGCACCTTTATAATGAGGAGATATTTTACTTCGCACTTCCTAAACGTGAAATTGACAATATATAAAAATTCCTCACTTTAGGTTATGTTAATATTGACAAAGAAGTTCCATGATGTTGCTATGCGTAGCACTTAATATTATTTTAATGAATTTTTATTAATTACATTATATAATTAAGGTTTTGGGCTGCCAACCTTTTTTGTATTTATCCAAAGAAGAAAAGTTGGGCAGCCACCTTTTGTTCATCCTCATCTATTAAGAACCTCCTCTGATATTTCATTCTTTTATGACAGAAAATCCCTACCATCTCTCTTTCTTATAACCTGAAAAACTTCATGAAAACCATCATAAATTTTTACTAAAACAACCAGCAAAACTCGTTTTTGGTGAAGCTCAAGTTGCTCCTCTCTTTTGTAGTAAGTTACTAAACCCGTTTTTACACTAGACATCTATTAGTGTTTTCTTCATATTTTTTGTATAGAGCTCCGTTTTAAGTGATCCAAGACTTTGTAGAAATATATTTCGTAGATCTATAACTCTTATGAAGGAACCAAAATCTAGTTTTACTTGTATTTACCCGAGAAGGGATCATAAAGTACAGGGCAGGTGCTGCCCAGATTTCTGTTTTACGAACCCTCCCTGTACTACTGTTAGTAATTTAGCATAACTCTTTGTACAAAATTGATATAGAGGTGATTCAAGATGTCCTGAAATACTAAGATACATATCTACAATTGTATTGAAGACCACACAGTATAGTTTGTTCTTTTCATCTTCAAAACTTAGCCACAACACAAGACAGTGATATTGTCCAGAATTTCTATTTCAAAAATTTTGGATAATTTTCACCAATATCATGCTTAGTTTGACATGTTAAATCACTGAAATTATATAGATATTTGTTTATGTATTTAAGCTATATATACCCTTGTAAAATATAAGAGGAATTGTTTGAGGAAGTGGACGGATTTGGTTTGTCTATGGCGTGGACGATTCAAACGTCCTCAAGTTGTGGTTGAACTATTTTGTGGTAAAACACCAAGGTTTGTGTATAAACTTTGTACTATTTTTACTTGCTGGAATATTTTGAAATAATCAGATATTTTGTTTCTCTTGTCTTCAATTTATATCATTGTATTCGTGTTATATCAAGTATTGCTTATATTCGCTAAATCTCCCTCTCTTACGGATTTGCTTGATCATTTTACATTCTTGTTGGGACTTTGTCCTTCTTGTGGCAGTGACTTTGTCACTCATCTTGGCATGCCTCATGATTTGGATCTTTTTCTATCTTGACTTTGGATTTGTAGTTCGTCTTAAATTATGGAACTTGTCTATGTTAAGTACGAACTAGGAAGCCATTTTTAATATGGTTCTTGATTCTCTTGACTATTGGGTTTTGACCCTACTTGATTTGGGACTTTTGTCCATCATGATATCAGATTATGCTTAGTGTGATGGCATGACGTACATATTGGGGAGGAAATGGATATTTGGCAAACTCTCTTGGATTAATAGTATACGCTTTCTCGACTCTTAAACATTGTTATTGATATTTGGAAATACTTCAAGGTTTGATATTTGATACTTTTGATATATTTTTTCACTTGCTTTAAATTATGTTAAATTTGAGCTACCTATGACTGAAAAGGGGAATTGGAGAATTTAATGGCTCCAAGCCCAAAGTTTATACGCCACTAAGTTTTATGCTTAGCAATAGTTGTTTACTATCATAGGTAACGTACGGGATGAAATTTGAAGACAGCCTTATGAAGTAGTCTTTTTCGGAGCACTTATGGAGATCACATTTGCATTGCACCTTGGTTTTGTATAATTTTGGGACATGTACATGATATATATGTCACACTTATGTATGTTATTTGGAGGCTTGTTGGATCTTAAGACCAGAATCTTGTGACTTGAATTTGGTAACTTGCTTTACTGTTTTAGGGTGTGTTAAGAACTCAAGTCTTGTAATATGCTGAATTTATACTTTTTCTTGTAAATATGTACAAAGGAGAAAACTAGTTTTCTTTTTGTACCTTGATGTTCTAAACGTCAATACCACACAAGAGGGGGGGTGATTTGTGTGGTACCCAATTTTCGCTCTAGAAGAACCTGGTTCTTCTAGGTATACTAACTACTGCTGTTTGCGGAGTAATAAATACAAAAATAAAGAACGCAGAGATTTTTACGTGGAAAATACCTGGCTCAAAAGGTGAAAAAACCACGACCTACTACTCAGTAGAATTTTCCCAAACTTCCACTAAAATCACTGAGCCAAAATAGCATTTACAAAACTCTTTGTAAACCTAAGGATTAACTCTAATCCCGTTGTAGCAACCAGCCTCTAACTGCTGCGACAACTTCAAGTTAACTCTAACTTGAATATTCAAAATACCTATTATAATTGCTTCTAGATAAAGCTGAAAGGTACAATATGAAACACCTACTACAATTGAACTAGAATAAAGAAAGACACATAAAACTCTTTATGGAGCTGGTTCTTCAATCTGGTTCATGTAGCTTCTGGTTTGCACACTTGAATCACACACGAACTGCTTGCAAAAAGCCTTGCTATTTTGCTCCCAATTCACGTTTAACTTCTGCGTTTTTGTGCAACACTTTAGTGTGAGAACATCCTGCAATTTATAGAGTTAGTAGATGAAGAAATAACTAGAGTTCTAATGCAACTCTTCCTTGGTGGAAGAGTTCTAGTTGATTTCAACTTCTAACTCCTTCCTTATCTTGGATAGTGTTCTCTTTGATTAAGGACTCCTTCTCCTTATCAATTATGCAACCTGTTCGATCAGGAGATATTAAATACACCAAGTTAAGCTTATCTCCTTCACGTGCAACCCACATGCTCGAATCTGCCCGTTTCTGTGCACCTGAGTGATGGACCTGGTTCATCCTGAGTTCCTTTGTCAGTCTTCAAAACTAACCTTTACTTGGGCCAACAAATTCCCCCTTTTTGATGATGAAAAACTCAGTGCTTTTCATACGCTTAGGCCATGTTTCAACTCAACTCAACATCAACACAATGTTAGTAACATTTTTCCTTTTTATCACTTATCATCAAGGACCAGGTACATTAGGTTATAAACGTCACTATTTAAGGTGTAAACATCACTTGTTTAAAGCACAACCTTTTCCCCCTTTTGGCATCATGGAAAAGTTGCATAAAAAATGTGAGATAACCAGATTTTAAAGCTTACTCATGGCCACTGGGGCTACTTCAAATGCAATCATGGATTAATCATCATAGATCAAGCTAAGAATTTTAACCATCAAAGAAATATGAACAAACAGTTAGAGAAAAAAAAGTGAATTTCATTGATGATTGATAAGATTCTACCACAAAGCATAAGAAGAAATAAAAATACTGAAAACATGAGCAAAAGAAACAAAACGTCCCGAACTGGGTCACTGGTTGATCTACACTAGGCTAGGATTTAAGGCTTGGAAGATGTAGGGGCTGGGTTATTTGCTTGGAGAAGTTTCAGCATGTCTTGAAGAATTCCATCATTCTTCTCCTTTTCCCTTGCAAGTTCAGTTCTGAGAACATCTCTCTCAGATTCTACCTCAACCAATCGTGTCTTCAGCCTTGCTATCTCAATATCCTTTGCCTCACTCTCCTGTACCAAAACTCTAACTTTGCTATTGATAGGTGTCTTTTTAGATGAACCAGGTTCATTAAGAATGACATTGATTTCATAATCGCAAGCAAGCAGAGTATTAACCCCGAAATGATCCTTGATTGTACCTTGAAATGTGCAAGCACAGTTATGAGAATGAAACCATAGGGAATGGCATGAGTTTTGGTGCCATTGATAACTCTATCAGTAGGTTCGCGAGGGTTTCCTGTTCAGATGGAACAGGTTCATCTATAACTATTCCAAGTTGAACCAACTCCTCAGCAGCTTTGCCAGACCCACTTCCCCCTGTTTTGCTCACACTCTCTTCAATTTCAGTAAATTACTCTCCCCAAACAACCATTGCACCAGTTTTTATTATACCAACAGGAGTGGGTGAAGAATCAGCCACTCTTGTCCCCTTTCCCCTCACAGTACTCCTAGCGCCCTTACTCTCTTTTTTTCATTTTCACCACCAACTTCTCCAGATTATGTAGTCTCAACACCTGCTATACATCCTACCAGTACAAATCCATTCTCTAAATTTGCAGAGACTTCAGAAATTGTCTCAGGAGTAACTTTAGAATCAGAAGATACCTGTTCAGTTTCGGAATACCTACTTTCTTCCCCCTTAGCAGCAGACTTAAATGAATTTTCAGATTTCTAAGATTCTTCTTCCTACCTGCTTTCAATTGCTTGTTTATTTTCTTGATCTGCTCTCCTTCAGCGACAATCTTATGAGTCATCATCTTTACTCTACTTTTCTTCAAGATTGGTGTGGGTGAAGCAGTGGTAGAAGATGTGGAAATGGTTTCCTGTGGTGGTGATGAAGGATTTTCATAAGTGTTTGACATATCTAGGTTAGGGTATGGAAAAGAAGAGAATTAGATTGTGTTTGGAAGATAAAAGAAGAATGAGAGTTTTTGACGTCTTGAGAGAGATGAGGTAAGGAATACACTAAAGCTGATCAATATACAGGGAATAATTGATGGGGTAACTACAGCTTTTCAGACTCTTAGAAGTTTAATCAAACTAAAATTCAGTTTTGAAGAGACGTTGGAGTGTATCCCTAGAATCTAGGTACTTCCATTCGGTTGGGACTCTTTTGAACGGGACTGGTTCACTGGTAACGGATAAGTCCAAAAGGAGTTTGGTATTTGGTAGGACTCTGCTCATGATCCAAATATAGTTATTTCAAATTATGCAGAGTGCAGAAAACATACCGTGTTACCTTGATGAACCAGGTTCTTCACTGATAATTCTCTTGTGTGAGTCTAAATTTGCCAAAATAGAGAAAATATTATTACAGATCAATGAGTCATTTTAACACATGGCACAAGATTATACTATGGAAAGTATGAGACTAAACAAGATTTAATCTAATTATACACAATTTACAGACTTTCTAACCAATTTTTGTTTTTCAATCTTTTTTTTTGGTTTAACCTTGAACTAGTCCTTTTAGGTGAGCTTAATCATCCCTAATTCCAACCTGTTCCTCTCAAAGTGATCTCTACTTAAGGCTATTGTGAAGATGTTAGAAATTTACTTGTTAGTAGCACAAAACTCCACAGTGATCGAGCTTATCTCATAGTTGTCCCTCAAAAATGGCGCCTAACACTATGTGCTTAGTTCTCTTATGATGAACTGGTTTCTTTGTCATACTAATAGCACTAGTGTTATCACAAAAAATATAGGGATGCAACCAACATCAATTCCAAAGTTCAGTAATGGTTGTTTGATCCATAACAATTGAGCACAACATGAAGCGGCAGCAACATACTCAGCTTCAGCAGTAGATAAGGCCATTGAATTTTGCTTTTTGGTAGCCCATGACACAAGACATGAACCAAAGAAGTGTGCCATACTTGAGGTGCTCTTCCTCCACAAGGAAACCTGCATAATCAGCATGAGCATATCCCACTAGGTTAAAATTACTACCTTTTGGATACCAAAGGCAAAGGTCTGTGGTGCCTTTCAAGTATCTCAATACTCTCTTGAAAACAGTCCAGTGGGACTTCTTTGGATTTGCTTGAAATCGAGCACAAAGACCTCTACTGAAAACAATGTCAGGTATATTAGCAGTAAGATACAAAGGAGAATCAATCATTCCCCTATACAACTTCTGATCAACAGATGAACCAGGTTCATCTATATCTACTTTCGTGGATGTTGCAATAGGAGTGTCAATTTCTTTGGATGTTCCTTCCTGGTATTGTTACTGAGTAATATGTTCATGGACAGGTTCCCTCGAGGTTTGAGGATCAGTTCCTCTCTAGTCAGTTCCCCCTGTCATGTTGCCATGGGTGGAAGGACCTGTTCCATCACATGTTCCTTCCTGTGATGCTTCTGCAGGCTGGACTATGGTTTCACCATTTGAATTTCTTATCAGCCCAATCTCTTCATTATCTTTCTCCTGCTTCTCAGAAAGAATGTTAGTTTTAAATAACATATACATTTTTTACACACATTTCTTTTACTGTATATCTTATAAGCTTTACTATGTGAAGAATATCCCAAGAATACACCATCATCACTTCTGGGATCATACTTACCTAGGGAGTCTTTGCCATTATTGTGCACAAGGCACTTGCATAGAAATGCCCTAAGATGGGATATATTTAGCTTTCTCCCTTTAAGTGACTCATACGGAATCTTCTTAACAAGAAGTCTAGTCATGCAACTATTTATGATGTAGCATGCAAAAATTCAGCAAACTTAGCATTTTCGAATTCAGTTCCATGATAGACCTAATTGATGCAAATTGATTACCTAGTTGTTTCTGAGTTTTTCTAACAAAAGAAGTAAACATGTCAAATGCTTCATCTTTAGATGTTAAAAATAATGTCCAAGTAAACCTAGAGTAATCATCAACAAGCACCATCACATATCTTTTACCACCTCTGCTTAATGTTCTCATTGGACCACAGAGATCCATATGGACCAGTTCCATCATTCTGGTGGTGCTTACCACTTTCTTGCATTTAAAAGAAGGATCTTACCTGCTTCTCCCTTGCACAAGCCTCACAAACTTTGTCTTCCTTGAACTTGATGTTAGGCAGCCCTATCACCAGATCCTTGGAGACTAATTTGTTGAGTTGACTCAGACTTGTATGTCCAAGTCTCTTGTGCCAAAGGAGGGGATCATTGTCCAACACACTTAAGCAAGTGAGTTCATCTTCTGAAAGTGTGGACAAATATATAATGCATGTATTGTTTACTCTTTTTCCCTGCAAAATAATCTTGTCAGTGGTAATATTAATCACAAAATATTTGGTAGTGGTGAATGCTACCA